TATATATTATATATATATATATATAGGTAGATATATATATCACTGCCATTGAGTCGATTTAGACTCGTAGCAATCCTTCCTTGGGATTCCAAGGCAGTATCACTGTGGAAGTAGATTCCCCAACCTTACACACACACACACACACACACACACACATTATGGTAAATCTCTGTGTAACGAATCATTTCCCTTTTCTGCATTCTTCACATGTTCAATTCAATGGCATCAGTTATGTTTATCATAGTGTTCAGTCATTGCCATTATCCATTTCCAAGTTTCTCCATCATCCTTAACAGAACCTGAGTGTCCCCTAAAGACACTGAGTGAGTCCCCTTTGCCTTCTTCTCCATCTGCTCCTGGTAACCACTAATACAGTGTGATTTCTCTACACTTGCCCATCCTAGGTCTCATATGAGGTGGAATCATACAATATTTGTCCCTTTGTAACACTCATTCATTTTTAAAATAATATAATGAACAGAACCTACTACGTAAGCCAAGAACTAGAACATTATCTATCACTTATGCTGGTAAATGCCTAAGAACTAACTTTCTGGGGGGATAAAATAAACCAGTCCTTTTCAGAACTTTCCAGTTTCCAAGGCTGATTCCAAGCTACCCAGAGTTTAACAACTGACGTTCAAAATTCCTGAAAATTTAACAGTTGGCTTTGGCTAGTCAATATGACCACCACTTGTCTGTCAGTTTGTCCTACTGTGGTGGCTTGCACGTTGCTATGATACCGGAAGCTGTGCCACCAGTATTTCAGACACCAGCAGGGCCACCCAGGGTGGACAGGTCTCAGCGACGCTTCCAGACTAAGACAGACTAGGAAGAAAGACCCGGTGATCTAGTTCTGGAAAAATTGGCCATTGAAAGAAATGGCCTTATGAATTGCAAGGAAACATTGTCTGCTGCAGCGCCAGAAGATGAGCCCCTTAGGTCGGAAGGCACTCAAAATATGACTGGGGAAGAGCTGCCACCTCAAAGTAGAGTTGACCTTAATGACATGGATGGGGTAACAGCTTTTGGGACCTCCGTTTGCTGATGGGGCATAACACAAAATGAGAAGAAATGGCTGCACATATCAGAACCGGGCAGTGTTTCATTCTGTTGTACACAGGGCTGTTCTAATTGGAATCAATTAGATGGTACCTGACAGCAGCGACAGTTGGTATGAGTTTGTACCAGACACGTTTGAGTCATCATCACTGATCTCATCAAAGTAAGTACTATTCACCTCCATTGCACAGCTGAAGAACAGGCTCTGAGAGGTTAAGCACTTGCTCAAGGTTCGCCTGCCAAGAAAGGACCGAGCTGGACTGACTGTGTCCAGGCTACCACTCTTCTTGGGGCTGCTGTCCTCTCCCCACAGTGGGAACAGACAAGTATACTGCTGGGGCTGGGGCAGGGGTGGGCTGTAGCACCGGGCTTTGGGCACAGCCAGCTGGAGCGCCCAGTCAGCACAGGTGTGGTGTAAGCTGGCCTGTCTCACCTCTCTCTCCCTTCTCCCATTTGGCCTCTATCACACACTGGCCTCGTTCACAGCTCCTGGAAGTGCAGGACCAGGTCCTGACCATACTCTGGGATCTTGCC